TAACGGATTTTACTTGTGAATTTTACCTGAAGTATGAAGTGTGAATGGTCCTCAAGGGACAGAGGCACCAGGATGAGACCCCACGGGCTGCTCTGTCTGAGCTAGGTGGGCATGGTACAGAAATACAGCTCAATTTTGCTGTGTGAGAGCAAAGTCGGAGTTGATGTGTTGTCTCTGGGATAAAAAACCTCTTTTCCAATTTTAAAAAAACGTAACATCCAAATGAGTTTTGCTGTGATTGCTGACATGGAATGAGTGGTTTGGTTTGCCTAACATGCAGGAGTGTGTCTTGTCTGTTCCTGACCTGCAGCATATCTGGTTGTTGAGTAGATCTTGAGGCCAGGATCTGTATAGACAGTTGACTTTTATTACTGATATCTTTTACGCCTGATAAATTTTGGGAGATTGGGGACTTTCTATAGCAATATTAAAAATTACCTGAAATATCTGGTTACTGTGCTGATTTTAATTGAACAGAGGTGTTATAAACCACAGACATCCTCTGGGAAGAGGATCCTACAGATAAACAGTGCCTGTGGCTCACTGGTTTCAGATGATGAAGGGAGGACAGGGAGATGGGTTACCTATACTGTAATCCAGTTTCCCTGGCACTATGGCATTGCTGAGCATTGCAGAGATGTGTGGGTTGAGAGCCTGAGAAGAGGCATTCTGAAGGGGACTTGGTTTTGAGTAATGCATATCAGTCCTGGTGTTGTCTCAGGGGCTGGAAACCCATGACCAACTTGGGCATGGTTCATAAGCGCTCACACATATCCTTTTTTTTAGCCTGATATATGGGGCAATTTTATTTATTTAATCCTAGTTTTACTCATAAGGAATCTACTTAGCATGTGCTGCGCCTGCTCCAAGGTGCAAAACAAAAGTAGAGGCAAGTGGGAGAGATTTCCTTTAAAAGTGTACTTGGATCTAAAACAGCAGTGTGGGTGCATCATGCTTTGCCTTATAAATCTACGGAATGTTTTCAGGAAGACTTGGAAATTTTTAAAGGACCAGAAAAAAAAGAGCCTGAAGGATTTCATTACATTTTCATAGTGGGTTTGTGACACACAGCTGCAAATATCTAGAGATATTTTTAACGGGCCCTTTGCAAATTAGGCTAAAAATCTAAGAGTGGTAGGAATTACGTGCAACTTTTACCTATTTTTGTCACATTTTTCTGTGGTTTTTTTGTGATTTAATTGCTGCATCTAAAATAAAAAGTAGTATTTATACCTATTAAGCGTCCATGGGGTACATGTGTGCAAGCATGGGTTCATACATAAAGATACATTTATTTTTTCTTCTCTAATTTTCTTCTTTTCAGCCTGTCCTCCTCTATTTGTGTTTCCGTTTCCATTTACATGACGCCACTTCTAAGAAATCTACTCCATCACCTCCCAAACAAGCCCTGGGGCCATTGTGGGGCACTAGGGAAAATGGAGTTCACGTGGTTCGTAGGTTAGCAGGTTTATTTTCTTTCCCATTACTGTTTATCTTCAGCAGATATCCTTAGCAAGTTGTAAGTTCAGCATGAAGTGAGGGGGTGTCTGTGAGTGTTGAGTGCTGAGACCAACATGACCAGAGGGTCCCCTCTGTATCCCACCTCTTCTCTTCACTGTCATCCCCTCCCTACTGCTGTCTCCGGTCATTCCCACTGGGTACTTTCCAGGAAGCCGTGAGCAAGGAGAGGAGGCAGCACAGTTCTTAGGGATGGAAACAGCAGCAGTTTCTGCATCATGTGCCATGGAGTTCACCCAGCACTTAGCTGCTTCTCCAGCTGTCTGAAGAGCCTGCTCTGGGGAAGGGAGGAGCCCACTCTGCAGAGCCCTTAGCTGGGGGACATTTGGCTTTGCCCCAGCTTTGAGGGTTGGCAGCATAATGCTGGCAGCCAGAATCCAGCCTGGTATCAACAGAAAATTTGTTAAAGGGAAATAATTATTGTATCCTTCTCTATCTCTACTTCTCTTGTGTTTTCTCTAATGTGGTAGTTTGCTTTGGGATGGGAAGGAGTTTGGTATTGCTTGTTCTTCTCGCGGTTCCTTGAGTCCCTTGGCTGTGTGACACCCAGGTGAGGCTTGTCCCCAGGTGCTGCCTGAGCCTCTGGTCCTGGCATGGGGGGAAATGCAGAAACAAGCTTTGAGAAAATGTAAATAAGTGCTGAAAAAAATGGATAAGGCCATATCTTGGTAAAACACTGGAACCTTTTGCACCCTTCTCAGTTTCATGTCCTCATCAGGCAAGCTGCGTATTTACTGAAGGCCTTTCTGTGTTTTTCTAGCTGTCAGGGCACCACAGACAGTGCTGCACTGCCACCTCCTGATAGCCAGCCAGGACAGCGGTGGCAGCTCCCTGCCTTGCCATAGCATCTTGTGGAAAACACTTGGAACTAGCCTTGAAAAAAACGAGGCTCATTTGACTTGGGCAGGGTGAAAAACACTTCTGACAGGCAAGCAAAACATTAGGCTTTTTTCTTCATCTATTCAGCTGCATAACAGGTGAATTTATGTGGTATCTCCATGGTTCTGCTTTGAGTGGGGAGCCCTCTTTATATTAATAATTCAGGACTTCTCTGTGTGGCAAATAGCACTTTCATTTGATTTCTGTGTTTTGATCTATCTTTTTTGGTGATGCAGCAAGATTGTAAAATTCCGTGACAGACCCATGAAGCAAATACTGCCGTTTGTGTGTGTGTACATAGTATAAAAAAGGTTCTTTTATGAGTCTCTTTAAAGTTAATTACCTTTGCTCTGAAGGAGAATATTGTTCCACTTCCTACAGAATTTCTCTGTAACAAACAGTCTTAAAAAAAAGATGATTTGTGCCAAGTATGGCAACAAAACTTAGCTGAAATTACTGTTTGGTCCTGCACTTGGTGGAATTGGTTGCTAATGCATGAAATGGCTACAAACACCATTAATTTCACATACTGCTCAATAAATGAGCCCTCAAAGTACATTGGAATTTTGCAAGTTTGCCTTGTACCCCAGGCATGGCTGGGGGCTTTGAAGGTCTGGGGTGGAGTTGGTACCAGCATACCTTTACCAGTTGTGTTGCACTGCTAGAAGTTATTGTACTGGAGCAATTGTTTTCTAACTTTAGAAATGAGAAGGATTTAAGTAGAACTGCATTTTTGTTTTTTTTCCTTAAGAAACTGAAACCATCTTCCCTCTTTGGCAGCACAGTATGCCTGAGAGTAAGCATGCGATCTGGGTTTCTGTGGACGTGTCCAGCATCATGTACAAACCCTGGTTTCCCATGCAGGGATCCCTTTGGCCCCAGCTGGGTCTGATTCCTCCCTGCACAGCTCTTGGGCTGTGTCATTTTTCCAGTGTCCTCTCCAAACCGAGTGGCAGTACATGCTGCCCTCCCTCCTATCCTGGATGTTAGCTGGGTGGGTGGCCACATGGCTGGGGTGGGTTTGGATATGTTCATGGGCTCATCAACTCATCAGTATTCATGTGCAGGTTTCTGCAATCAAACTCTTGTGATGTCTGAGTTCATCCTGTAGCCTCTCCTCCTCTTGAGGAGTTCAGTTGGGTCTGTTCTTTACAGCATTATGGGACTTCTAGGAAGGTCACATGCTGGAGAACTGTACCCACTGTCAGATTTGATTGCAATTGACTGGTAAAATTCAAAGTTATGTGATAGGAAATGACCACACTGTCTTTCTTCCTTTTGCTTTGGGAAGTCTTGCTAGGAAAAGATGCCTGGAAAGAATACATATGGCAGCTTTATAATGCCAATCATAGCCTTGTAGTTGTTACTTACTACTGCATTCTCTGCTTTCCCTCTTGGAGCAGCAGTGACAAATGGCTTGACCACACAGCCATGTAGCAAGAGCTTTTTATTTTGAACAATACAAGAAAACCTGTTCTCTAGTACTTTTTTTACATCAGATCCAGGTCAAACTTCGTCAAGTAGCAGTAGGAGAGTTGTTTGCTTTCTCATACTTCAGTTCCATGGAAGAAACAATGGTAGTGGATGGCTAGGTAAAAACTGGGAAGGGTTGCTGATGAAAAGTGGTGGACAGATAGTAGGAACAGGAGGTGGACATTATTTCATTATATGTTCTGGAAGCTGATGTTTTTACTTGTTTACTTGGAAAGGTCAGGGGTATCACACATTTAGAAGTCAAGAGAGTGTTCTCAAAAATGAGACTTAGCGTTAGAAAAAAACACAATATTCTATCTTTTCATCTTCATGTTTTGAAAAGACTCTTGTTGCCTCTTGTTTTCAAAGTTTATCATCAAAATTATATATAGGCTGATACATTATTTATCTTGATAAATATTTACCATTAATAAAATCAAGGGAAACTTGTGTACATGTATATCCATCAATATTTTTAAAGCATTGATTGAAAGCCTAAAGAAATATTACTTAAAGTGATCTGTTTAAAGGTTGTCCCTGAGGCCAAGAATTCCTTTTGCAAAGCCGAAGTGTGTGGCTGAGTTCTAATTTTTAGTGGAAATAGTTGGGCTTGCTTTGAACAGACACCATGTTGTAGCCTGTATTTGCACATTTTCACTCATGCAGGTGTGCCTGAAAACTGGAGTAGATTAGAGAGTAAAAGTGAGAACTTGCCTGGATACCAACACGAAACCAAATTCTCGGTCTCTGTTGGCCAGTCAGAGAGAAATCCATGTTTTAAAAAATGTGTTCTATGGCAATAATGTTGATTAGATAAAACTCACTTGATTATTTTTTAAAACCTTTGAAATGAGGCCTTTTTAGTACTGGTATTAAACAGCATAGTTCCCCAGTCCATACCAATTTGCATCACTTGAGAATCTGTCCCTTCAATATTTAATTTACTGACCTTTATGTTGTGGTGAGACAAATGACTTTTTAATGACTGCAGTAGACTTATTTGCATTATAAAATAAAACCATTGTGTGTGCTGCCAGGGAGCTACTTACTTTATAAATACAGCATTTGTTGGGAAATACCTATTGGGTACTAAAAATATTTAATTGACCTACTTTTTTTTTTATTTGCAGGGTTGTGTCCTTTGTTGTGACCTCATGGTTTAACTGGGAATAAAGATGAGTATAAGCAGTGATGAGGTTAACTTCCTGGTATATAGATACTTGCAAGAGTCAGGTGAGTTTTTACAATTCTGGTTGTTAAACAATGCATAATTTATTTGGCCGTTGTCTGCAACTGGCTCTGGCTTTAGCAAAGCAGGCTCATTTAATTATTTTGCCAGTAGGCATGTGCTTCTGTCTGAGCTGTTTCTTGGTGTTTCTTCTCAACAAGAGAACGAATTCCTGCCAAGTTACCTTCTGTAACTTAATCAGATTTTGTCATTTGAAGGCTTCAGATGGCAGTCAACCAGCCAAGGACTCACTCAATTGCTAGAAAGGCATTTTCCTGGAGATCACTTGTCGGCAGGGTGACGATGGCACCTTGCACCATTTTCTTTAGGGCTACTTGAAGAAGAAAAAAGGATAATTAGTAAAATACTGGGTTTTCCCTGTTGTCTTGGAGTGGTGTTGCTCCTGTGAGCCAGTCTTGTGTAGCTGAATTCCTTGCCTGAATGACTTTGGAGGGGCAGATGTTGCTGTGTTTCAAAGGAAGAAGTGGCAACTGTGACTGTATGACTTGTATCACTTGAATCTAAATACAGATGAACAGATTTTTTTTTTTACAGGAATATCTCTTGAGTTCCCAAAAGGTGTCCTCCCTGCAGGACACCTTTTTTTTGGTGTCCTTTGGCATCAGGCTAGCCAAAATCTTCTGCTTCTTAAGAGTAAGAGCAAAAGATATTATTGTCAGACTTAAAAATAAACCTTTTTCTTGTCATATTCATCCAAACTGATTTTGGATGTGTAAAACACAAGCAAGAATGCAACAGTGTTCCCTTATTTTTAAAGCTTCCCAAACCCAGTCAGATCAGCAGTTTTGAGTTTGTGTTGCATGTTTGGGTTTCTAGATGCAGCCATATGGCTGCAGGGAGTTTTGTGGTGGTGGTTATTCCTGAAGCTATAAGAGACAACATCATCTTTTACTCACAGCTGTGGTATTGATTGCTTAATGCAGCCTACATTTAGAATGGGTAGATTTGACTGAAAATCAGGGCATGCCCCAGTAAATGAACAAGTGATGATTGTCAGCTGGCAGGAGGGAATGTGATCTCAGCAATACATAAAAGAAGTTTGCAGATTAAAGCAAAAATAAACTCCAGTCTTTACATAACAGTGTAAGAGGTCGTCTTTTATATATGTGTATATGTGTGTGTGTATATATATATGAAAATATATGCATATAGTGTATATTTTACCTTGCCATTTCAGCATTTACTGATTCTTAGTTTTGTGTACTGATTGCTGATGGGTGACTTCAGGCTTCTTGAAAATGCATTTGACTGATGCAACATATGTTCACTGCTCATGGACTTCCCAAATTGAGACAGAGAAGCCCCAACAGCAATGGTGGATGGCAGAGTTCTTCAGTCTCTGTTTGTCAAAAGAAAGCAGAATCTCATTGTTCCACCTAAATTTACTGAAAACTATTACATGTTCTCATTCCAGTTGCAGATTGCTTTTGTCACAGAAGCCAAGCTTACAAAATTGCTCTATCTACATTTTAAAGTTTGCAAGCAGCTTCTTACTTACCTGACAGGGAAAAGAAAAAAAAAATAAAGTGGTTTAAGAAAAAATTTCCATGACAGTAAAGTTAATTTTCTGAAACAACTCTTTTTCTCTAGGTTAAACTCGCTTTTTCAGGGTGATCAAATAAATAGCAGGCAGCTACCAGTGCTGCATCATAACGTGCCACTTCTTAATCAGTGCACAGTGCTGATGTAGCTCTAAGAGCCAAAGCATACACAATTATGACAGCACTGTACCGTGAGCTGAATTCTGTTCTACATACAGATCCATTTCACTTTCATGGGTATCAAATCAGTGAGTAAAAATAGCAAGTGAGTCTTGGTGTCTTTTCTTTATTAAATACTACAGATGGTAACATACATATATGTAGTTTATGAGTATATAAAGATGTTGCAATGCTATTGAGAGTTGTATATTTTGTATTTTTATATTGACTCATGCACAAATATTTTGCCAATGATACTGTAATTAATATTTGTTGCATTTATATTTAAACTTTTCTGTTTTTGTACATTCAAACTAGAGACATATGAGGGAAATGAGGTATTTGATCAGTTTTTATGGTAGCTCATAAGCATGTTATAACTTTGTATAATTTGCTCAGGTTTGTAAACAGAAGATCCTACCGTGGTACAGCAAGCAGTGTTGTCTATCTGTAAATCAATTCTGATGTCTTTGCCTTGTCTTTAGGGTTTTCCCATTCAGCATTTACCTTTGGTATAGAGAGCCATATCAGCCAGTCTAATATAAATGGTGCTCTGGTGCCACCAGCTGCTTTGATTTCCATCATCCAGAAAGGTCTGCAGTATGTAGAGGCAGAAGTCAGTATTAATGAGGTAAGGAGACTTTACCTGCAGGAGCGTTGTGTCCTTGCTTGCAGTAAGTTTGAATGTTAGTATTTTTTCTTAACTTTCTTGTATCCTATTTATTTACTTTTACTTCAGATTCCTTACTGCTGGTGTTCACCATGACTCCAGTGGTGGAACCAGAATGGAGTGACATAACTGGCTAGGGGTTCTGCCCAGTGCAGCCACACAACACCAGGCATGGTGTTCTGGCTCATTGCTTAAAGGTCCGTTGTCTGTAGAGCTGTTACCCTAATGTAATGTTGTAGTACACCCAGACAAGTGCAATACGATAACAATTGAGACAAGAAACCTCTTAATTTTTTTATTTTCATAGACTGGCACTAGGGAGGTGGGAGAGCACTGTGCAGCTCTCGTTTGGGTGACGTGTCGTTTTAATGAAGTAACGTGAGCCCAAAGGCAAGGTTTCCACTTAGAGAGAGGGTTTCAATTTGTGGCAGGAAGGATGAAGGTATATGCCAGTTCGCCTTTTGCTTCTGCTGGCTAATTCATCTTGAGCAGGATCTATTATATTTGATGTTTAAATGGTTATTCCAGCAGTACAGAAAGCTATGTATCTTCCTGCCTGATGCTGCAGACATTCGCCCTCAATTTCCATTCTCATTTATGCCTGGAAGGTTAGCAGCCTTTCTGTGTGTCAGTTAGATTACAGAAGGAAACTATTTTTTCCACTAATTCTGCTCTCTTTCCAGTCTCCCTTATGTCTGCTGTTTACGTGTAGTTTTCATAGTCCCAGTGAAGCAAATTCTTTCCTTTAGGAAGCCTCAGAAAAATAAAGCAAGTGATAGGAATAGAAGAAGGAGACCCTATATTTATTGCAAGGAATCCTTCTAGCTCCTAAAAATAGATCCTTACAAAGCCCTAGCATATGTATAAGGGTATTTTTAACTGGGTCTTGTCCATTTCAGGATAAAATTCTTCCTTGTTGTTTGAAAGCATGCCAGCACTGTTTAAAAAAAGGAAGAAAACTAGTCAACTCTCCAGATAATATGTTTATGGAAAGTATTAGTCTAATAAGATAGAATAACTTCACAAGTCAGTGACCCGAGTTGCAATGTTTGTGGCTCGCTCTTCAAACAAACCATTAGATTTTGCTGCAGCCACTCATGTTTGAAATCATATTCATAGATAGCTTACAGAATTTTTTGCTTTAGCAGACAATTTAGCAAACTCAAAGCAAATAACTTTGGATTTCACAGGCTCTCCCAGAGGCCTGCAGTGGCTTTTTTGCATATTTATAGTGGCCACTTAATTTTAGACTAAGATTCCAATCCTAACCACAACAATGATGAAATATCCCTTCCAGCAGTATTTGTAAATCACTTTATTGTATTAAATCAAAACTTTTGCTTTAGTTCTTCTTGGAATTTGTGCCCATAATGCTAATTTGTACTTGTCTTTTTTTTGTTTTCTCCTTCTGTTGTACTTCAGGATGGTACCTTGTTTGATGGTAGGCCAATAGAGTCTCTCTCACTGATAGATGCAGTGATGCCTGATGTGGTACAGACAAGACAACAGGCCTACAGAGATAAACTTGCACAACAGCAGGCAGCAGCTGCAGCAGCTGCAGCCGCCACTAACCAACAGGGATCAGCGAAAAATGGAGAAAATACTGCAAATGGAGAGGAGAATGGAGCACATACTATAGCAAGTAAGTTAAGACAGAAATGACCTTAACTTATGTTAACATTTCCTTGTTGTTTATCATGGTTTGAGCTAGGAGACAGTGAGGTAAAAGTGTAGAGGCACGAGTAACCCTTCAGCTTGCAGAGAACACCTTCATCATAGGTGATACCTAAACAGATGGTGTCTCACCTTTGACTGTCCCCAGTTTGAGATTTAGAATGCAATAGATGCAAACTTGTGAATTCATTAATTCACAATATTCCCTTGACCAGTCTCACTTCCAACACTGCTCCTTTCCCATCATCTGAAGGTTTTTCTCAGGACCTTCTAACGGCTCTTTCATAAAGAGGAAAAATTAATCAGAGACAACTCTTTAAAGGTTGTATCTCCTCAGCTTTGGCCCCTATGCAGGGAATGAGGAGAGGAGTCTGCTAAGCCACAGCTGGTTAAAAATAAGCATTGTTTGTGAAGCTCCACAAACTCCTCCTGACAGATTTTGCTAATCCCTTGGATCTGAGAGCTGTGCCCACTTCTGTGTAGGACAGGCCTTCTTGTCATGCTGGAGGCAGTCATGGTTGCTGGGACAAGTCCTGTGTCACTTGTCTCTTTTATCAGTATCTGTTTTCATGATTTGCTGTAGAGAATTATTTGATGTAACTGCTCTTGGGTTTTGTTTATTCATTAATTCCATTTCAGTTGTGATTGATGAAGCAAGTGAGTTCTATTTGCCATCACCAGTCAAAGGAACATACCTTACAATTAGGCGTAGTATGGAAAAGGTCAAGTCAGGCATTAAAATATGATTTTTGAAATATTGTTCTGGAAGTCCGAATTACACTTTTGAGAGGGAGAGTTACAGCTCATGCTGTAAAACGTCCTCTATAAAAGATACTTTTGAGAGAATGTTAATATCAGCCACATACAAGTTCTGCATTTTACAGCTGGATTGTAGGGGTTTTTTTAGTATTATATATGATAAATATACTGGAAACATAATATGTGGCTGAAACAGTCTACTTGGATGCTTTCATTTTAAAAATCTCAAAAGAATATTTACTTGCTGACTGTGAACTGGATAGAGTAAGGGTAAACCCTGTACCTCAGCCTTGTTAAATGTGATCTACCAGCAGCCCCTGCTGGCTGGTACACCACTTGTATGGCATTGATTCTCTGACTGAAGCAGTGTTATATATGGTGCTCTTTCTTAAAACTATGCATGTTCTAATAGCCTTTTCTGTTTTCTCACACGTACGAACAGTGACAGAAACCCTTAATGCTAAATTAAGCAATAGATGTGAAATGATTTGTTTAACTGCAGTGAATAAACACAGAGCAGGTGAACTGTGCAGCATTTCTTATATTATGCATTTACACTCAGCATGAATTTATTTTTAATAACAGAAAATGATTGATGGTAGATGCCAAGAGAACTGTTTTGTCAGTTGAATTATGCCCAGTGTGTTTTACAGAACAATATGGATTCAACATCACTTTCACGCAGGAAGTGGTGTGTTGCCACAATTCCACGGTAATTGCTGATGAAGTTTGAAAAGCTCTGTTATCAGTTTACTGTATCACCAAATGTGATTATATTAATTAAAGGCATTTTGTAAATGAAGTGTCTTGAGATGTAGATTTAAAACCTGTTTGACTGCAGTTGGTGAAAAGAGAGATCTTTGAAAATTAATGTGTTGTAAATGTATCTTTTAAGCACAAGCTAGACTAGTAACATATTGTCCTATGCAGTATTGGGCCTGAAAAAGCTGAGTACTTTTAACAGCATTTGTTTCTTAACATAGCAAAAAATTAACTTTTGGCCTCAATTTTGAAGCCTCAAAATGAAATCCATTTGGATGCAAAGGTTTAGAAGGGCAAAGAGCTTTCTCGCATATTTGAAACTCTCCGTCTGCTTATAGTACTCTGTAAATTTGAGCTACAAAAATACAGGAACATAACAGTTTTGTCAAATTTTCGAATCACATAAATTGTGAATAGTTGCTCTCATCCCAGAAGAATCTGAGCCCTACAGTAGTCACAATGCGTTGTCCCAAAATATTAAAATCGACCTCTCTCTACTGTTTCCCACGATGCAGATAATCACACAGATATGATGGAAGTAGATGGAGATGTTGAAATCCCTCCCAACAAGGCAGTGGTGCTGCGTGGCCATGAATCTGAAGTATTCATCTGTGCCTGGAATCCCGTTAGTGACCTTTTGGCCTCAGGGTATGTGCTCTAACCACATGTGTGTGGAATTTCCGTGCTGCTTGGCACGCTGCTGTGTGTTGACGGCAACACATTAAAATCACACCTACCCCAACGCCTTCTACATCAAATGCCACAACGTTTGCCGTTTTGAAAACAGCACTTTTAAATGGAATTCATTGGGAGAAGGAGTCATAGTCTCATTAACTGTTCGGTAGGTCTGGAGATTCGACAGCACGGATATGGAACCTCAGTGAAAACAGCACGAGCGGCTCGACTCAGCTGGTACTTCGGCACTGTATCCGGGAAGGAGGGCAGGATGTACCCAGCAACAAAGACGTGACATCGCTGGACTGGAACGTAAGTGCAAACGGCAGCGCTCAAAATGCTCTGAGAAAATTATGTCTATAATTTTGCATAGTCAAATTTGAAGTGGCAGCAGTGGTGCATCCTCTGTGGCCACACTTGAAATATTGCTGTCTTTGAGAGGTATTGTCATTTCTTCCATTGTACTTCAAGGACTTTCATTTTAATAAGTTGTAGTCAACGGAATAAATACCATAAATCTTATGCAGATGTATTCTACCTGAAATTTGCTTTGTGCTCTTTAGATTTGACTTACACAGTAAAAATAAATGAAATAACCTTTCTGCTGGCAGAGTGAAGGTACACTTCTAGCAACTGGGTCTTACGATGGCTTTGCGAGGATATGGACTAAAGATGGTAAGCAAAATGCTTTTAATTTCCAGTATTATTTTCCTGTATTGTGGCTCACAGCATAGTTTTTTATTTTTTTAATGTATTCATATCAATATAAATTTTCAGGTAATCTTGCCAGCACCTTAGGGCAACATAAAGGTCCTATATTTGCGTTAAAATGGAACAAGAAAGGAAACTTCATTTTAAGTGCAGGAGTGGACAAGGTGAGATAATCTTTGGTAAAATTAAAATTCTTTCCTTCACCGTTTTAATCTAATTGTAAGCAAAATAGCACAGTTATGAAAGTAAGTGAGTTAAGCTACAGGCGTAGGATGTAAACATGTACTTACAAAGAATTTGTGCTAGTTATATTTCCTTGGGTTTTATAGTAGTTTATTGAGATATTTTAATTTCTTTAGATTTCAGTGTCTATGGATATGTTTCCAGTTAGGTTAGCCTAGGTTAGAAATGAAGTGCATTTAAAGCAGAAACATTAAACCTTTGTAAAACCACATCACTTTATGTAAAGCCTCAGGAAAAAAATCTTTCTGGAGGGATAGGTTCAGGCTGAGTTAGATAGCAGTCAAGCCTGAGAATGGTTTAAAAGTTTAGAGCTGGAACGTAAGGAAAGTTGATACATCTGACTGGGGAGGTGCCAGTAGTGTAATGCCATGGAGCTCATTGTTTAATTCTGTTTTATTTCACATCTCTAAACAAACTTAGACTCACAAGGTCTTTACACTCAGAGCTGTTGTTAGTGTGAGAGATTCTGTGAATCGTGGGAAGGGCACATAGTGATGAAGAATAGACTTAAGAAATTCAAGGAGTCCAATAGACTACTCAAAAACAGGAGTTGAGTTTTTCCTCTGTAACCAACTAATGGTGCAGGAGTCAGCACAGGTTTTCTCTTGGTGAGAGTGGCAAATTGCAAGCTCAGTATGACCACGGGCCCATCCAATACTTAAAACTGGCAGTGTCACTGTAAAGTAGTAGATCTACTCCTTTATTTGTTATTTTTTTCCTCCAGACATTTAACCTGGTTTGCATTAGTGCTCAGCTTTATAAATGCTTGTGCTGGCACAAAAGAAGGAAAATTGAATGTCTCAAAGCATGGAAAGGATGTGTTTCCTCTTTGGCAGCTGTGACGGTTATGCCAGTTTTTAAATCTTTGTGGAGGTACAGCTTCAATTTGCCGAAAAATATTCTGGAAGAAATAGAAGCCTCATTTCAGTCAATAAAACTTCTTAGACAAAGCATCTGAGGTTACACTTTGGAAAATATTCTGCATTGGCAGAAAGACTGACCTAACCTTATGCTTCTTTTCTATAAATTATTTGTGTGGTCAGTTCATACTTTCACTGTATTCGGTGTTAAAATTTTCGCTGGTTGTTGAGGTAGGCCAGGGATCTTGGCATATAATGTAGTGGTTATAAGATCCTGATTTTGTTGTGTAAGAGTTCTTTGACCAGAAGGATATCAAAGTATTGGCTGAGAAAATTCAGAATGAAATTACACCCTTAAACCTTTCAGATTCTTAAGTATGTGATTAATTGTTTATAAGATCTCCTTAGGGACAAGGGAGTATTTAAAATGACAATTTGAATATACAAGTATTTGAAATTAAAGTAGGTGTGTGGAATGATTTACAAGAATATAAATAGGACTAAAGGGATAAATCTAATTTTTGTTTATTAAAAAAAAAAAAGCCCACAACCCCCTTCTTGTCTCCAGACTTCAAAATGTTGTGATTAAACACCTTTCTAATAATATTACAACACATTACTGTTGTCTGTACATCCACTACCATTTCTTTTAGTACTGGGTAAAACACTAGCTATGTGTAATCAGTGGCAGGTTTGGATGATGGGGAGCAGGCTAGATATTCTGGCACTTGAGTGGTAATGGTTGTGGGGAAATTAACAGTTTGTGCAAGCTTGTTTATTGTTTATTTATCTGTTTAATCCAGACCACAATTATTTGGGATGCCCACACTGGTGAAGCCAAGCAGCAGTTTCCTTTTCATTCTGGTAAGTCTTGAGTTTGATGATTGAGGATTGTCATCTGCAAAGACAAAAAAAGTGTTATTTATTAAAGTAAATAAAAAAATCTGATGTTTATGGTGCTTATTTACACCACTTTAAAATCTCACAGGTAGTCTTTGGTTACTGATTCCCATATTCAGAGTCCTGTGAATTTTGAGAACATAAACAAAGATAGTATTGTTCTGATTTTATAACTCACGGTTTTATTGCAGTTCTATGAAAGTCATAACAGATAAATAATCCAAATATTTCTGACTTTCTGTAGTGGAGTGGCAGACAAATCAAGTGGGTGGGCCACAAGGGATTTGTGTTTATCACCTTAGGACTGCGTTTATCATCTTCCTGCTACAGTAATCCCAGCCCTGCATCCCATTGTTCCACGCTGCCCGCTGTGCTGTCCCCAATTTGTTTGGCCACAAACCAGCTGAAAGGCTGTTCACTGGCCAGCTGGGATGAGAGTGCAGCCTCTCAGGAGGTCAGACAAATTGCTTTGTGGGCTGCATGCTGAGCAAGCCTGCCAGAATCAGCTGGAAAATAGAATAGAGAGGATGATGGACATGTCATCGAAGGGCCTTGAAGAAATGTGTCTCCTTTCCACTTTTTATTCCTCTCTCATTCCTTTCCAGTGGCATGACAACAATCAAAAACATCAGTTCATGGTTTACTCCAAGCAATTCTGTGTGCTATCTGCCATAAATATCTAGCTTGATCAAATGGAATATGTTGCACATGATTAAGCTTCAAGTTAGCACATCTTATAATGCTGGAATTAAGAAAGGAAATAAATCATTACCTTTCCCTGGCTGCCACCTGTCAGCACAAATAGGGGCTGTTAGTGGAGATGAGCTCATGCATGATGACATGTGAAGTTGTGGGAACCTGTTCCTTGTGCTGACTCCTGAGATTTATTTATAGATGACTTAACTACAGCTTGGTGTGTCCTGCTGCACTCTCTTCTGTAGAACTTTCATTACAGATAGGTTCCATATCTTAATGTCTTGCATTAAATTGTGGTTCATTTTGTGTAAGACTTGTTTTGGCTGCATTTCTTACTGTTCATAGTGTTTGATTATCTTCAGAACTGCTGTAAAATAATGGTTGCTTCCTGTTGGCATTGCTTCTAATGTGGTCCATGCTAAATTTGCATATCTACAGAATACTTACTATAGCTTTAAATATCTTTCTTTTTCTTATAGCACCAGCATTAGATGTTGATTGGCAGAGTAACAACACATTTGCCTCTTGCAGTACAGACATGTGTATTCATGTTTGTAAATTAGGACAAGATAGGCCCATCAAAACCTTCCAGGGTCACACAGTAAGTACTGGAAAATTGGGGGTTGCTCTATGATATTTTTATTAATGAGAGATTGGGTAAACTTGCCAGTATACAGCACTTGTGTCATGCTTGATCTTTGGCTACAGGCAATAGATATGTTTACAGATAGTTGTGGTTAAGGCCATATGGCAGCTGTAGTCTCTGTGATTATTGGAACAATACTCACTCCCATGTGCAGCTTCTTTTACCAGAGCCAGCATGCAAAAGTGAGCTTTAGAAGAGGAAACATGGTAACTTTGAGACTTTGCTATGCACAGCCTATATGGTGTACGAGCATGCATGGGAAAATGTGATGAACAGGTAGCAAAAAGCTGTTGTTATTGAAGGCAAAGCTATGAATGAAAATTAAATGTTGAAATCCTGACAATTATGCAAATACTCATAACTGCTGTCCAACTTTGTTTCGTGAGCTGTCATTTGTTATGAAAGCGAAGACTTCAATTTATTCTCATTATTCAATTTTAGAATGAAGTAAATGCAATCAAATGGGATCCAACTGGTAATCTCCTGGCATCCTGCTCTGATGACATGACTCTAAAGGTAAGGGGAGTTCTGGTAGTGACCCTTGTCTTTGTAGGACTCTGGAATGCAGACCAGTAGTGTGGGCAATCCTGCAGTATTACTGTACTTGCTGTGTTGTCCAGTATTTGTTCCTTTTTAATATAACAAGGTTAGGCAATCCTAGAAATCCTTGTTAATCAGAGCCAAGCTTTGGTCCAGAGAACTTGTTACAAGCTGCCACTCTGAGACTCAGAGCATGATTTATTAGGTGCTTTTAGCTGTTTACAGAATCGAGTCATTAATCATTAAGCTGTCATGCCTGATGGTTGCTTTTGGTTAAAAGAAAGAGTTGGAATGCATGTGGTGTAACATATACAGGAGTGGGCAACTTGCTCCTTTCCAGGTTTTGTTCTGTTTTCCCCTTCTTTCTAGTTAAAATCTTTGGCATATTGTTTCTTCAGAGACTGTGTGCACTCCTTGGTTTTTCCAGTTCATCAGGAGTCGTCGTACAGTTCTCGATTGCACCTACTCTCTTTCTCCAGATAATCCATAGCAACATTCTTTCTCTTAGAACTAGGGCAAACTTGTGAATGCAGAGGACGCTGTAACTTATACATATGACTTCAGGGCACACTAGAGATCCTTACAAAAATGCCACCAGGTTAGATACACTAGAAGAAATTAGGTTGTTCATTCTTGACAGGCCTGTGCTGCTTCCATGTGGAGATGCTTTCCATTCTTCCCATACTGCTTTACATTTAGTGAATGTTTTAACGCTGTGTTTGGTAGAATTTCAGGATACATTTTTTACATTGACACTGCTGTCCTGCTAGTAGCCCTTGGGACAGTTAATTCCATCCAGCTCACTGTTGTTTAATCAGGGACAGGGAATGGCTGAATGAGTAGCCAGATATCCCTCCTGCTGGCACACAGTCAGGCTCTGGCAATGGAAATCACCTTATCTAAATATAAACATGTAAGCATTAAGCCTCTAGTCTAAAGCTAGATGTCTAGACGTCTTCAGTCACCAGTGTGTCAGCACTGCTGAAGAGCAATTCATCCTTTCCTAAGTTAAGTGTCTTAAGTCAAGTGTGATGAGTAAACCCCTGAGAGCATCAGTTGTTCACCACTGGCAATGGATGGAGTCAAAATAGCCAGTTTAAGCTAGGTATTTAATACTTAAACAGCTGAAACTCCAGTGTGATGAATTCTAATCTAGAGCTCAAGCTGTTGCTGCTGCCTCTCAGTGAGTAGAGGTGACAACTGGGAACATGTCACCATTTGTGGGCTCAGGCAATTCAGGCAATTAACTTCTTGGTTGCTATTTTGAATTCAGTCCAGGCTGGAAAGAATGTTATCATTATATTCAAGATTAGCTGGAAGACCAAATGCCTAAGGATAGGTCTCCACATCACAAATCACTTCTGGATCACTTACTTTTCAATGGCAGAAGGAATAAATGTCATGTTTTGAAGCATATGCAAAGTGCCTAGTGATTTATTTACTTAGTTTTCTCTCTTGTGATGACAACTTGATGTTCTCTAGGGCAGCTGATAAGGACACTTTTCATCTATACTAGTTTTGGGAAGAGAAACTAGATTTTGATCCCATCAATTTAAACTGGGAATACAATTTCAATTCTGTGTGCACTTTGAAAATCAATTTCCTCTTCAGTGAGGCACCGGTTCTGAAAAGCATCATTTGTTTAAACATACACCTCAATTGCATCTTAAATACAGTTGGGCTTAAACATGCTTCTGTCAGCTTTTTCTATCAAAAGGTGAGCTAAAAGCACTACTGAAACAGATGTCATTAATAGAAGCATTCAGATGGTTAGCTGTCATATCAAGTTTCACATTTAGGAAGAGGTATGTAAGTTTTTCAAAATCCCTTCTGTAGTGGCAATGCAAATAAAGTTATTTTTTCGTTGAGCATGATCATACAGGAGTTGGAGCCCTAATGACTGGTGTGAAGTACTGAACACACACCTGGCAATGCAAATCCTAATAATCCAGGAAAATACCATAGTGGTTTTTGCACTGTATATCTAAGGATTTGTGTGAAAACAGAAAATTTCTCTACTATCCCTTTATTTCACTCAGTCTGTGTAGCAAGAAGTTCATTTAAAAATAGGGCTGTGATATTTTGTCAACTCAGACATGAACATATACATATTGCTCTTCTCATTTCAGCATCTGTTCTCATCCCTGCACTTTTCAAGGGGCTTGCAGTTAACTCAGACAGATTATTTTCTATAGGCAGCACCTTTATTACACATTAACTCCATCAGGGACTTACAACTCAAAGAATGGAAGGTCCTGGAATAATTACTTGGCATAATTACTCTAGAAACCCAGGAGTCACAGCAAATGTTTTCAGTGGTCTTAAAAGGTAGCAGTCAGCCTGCAACTGAAAAAGAAGATGCAGAATGTATTGTAGTACAATATTGTCCTAAATGTCTGTGTTTTCTTCCCTTTTTATCATAGATCTGGAGTATGAAACAAGACAGTTGTGTCCATGATTTACAAGCACACAACAAAGAAATTTATACTATCAAATGGAGTCCTACAGGACCAGGAACAAATAATCCAAATGCCAATCTTATGTTAGCAAGGTACTATTTAATCCTGGGTTTAAATGCTTATTTAACATTATTTTTACTTCACTCTATAACTGCAGGTTCACAGAATGTTTTGAAGCATGTAGGATACTTTGTCATATTCTGTTTGTGTTGGTAACAAAAATATGTTGAATTTAGATGTAATTAATCTCTTGTTTTTTTTCTTCCTGGGCAGTGCATCCTTTGATTCTACTGTTAGGTTATGGGACGTAGACAGAGGAATTTGTATTCATACTTTGACAAAACATCAAGAACCTGTGTACAGTGTAGCTTTCAGTCCTGATGGCAGGTACCTGGCCAGTGGCTCCTTTGATAAATGTGTACACATCTGGAATACACAGGTATAGCTCTTCTGTCTGTTGAGAAGTTTGTGCTTTGGTCTTTTCCGTCAGCAACTTTTCAGCCTTTGCTCTGTCACCTTTTGGCCACAAAGAGCTTTGCCATTCCTAACACACTGATTCACTTTCTCTTTATTCTAAGGTTACTTCTATTATTGGATATGCATTTAACTTCTCTCTTTTAGTGCTTGCCTATGGTGAAGTAATAATTTTCTTTACATTGTCTTTGCTTAGCAAAAAAATCCCACAAACAAACCCAAAAGACCCAACCAAAAAAATTAATAACAAAACACAGTGTTCAACAAAGCGTCTCCGATAACATGTTGCATCCAAAAATTGTCTTTGGTAACTCTGAATTTAAACTCCTGATTAAACAGGTTTCATGTGAAGACTGATGTCTGGATGTAGACACACCAGTGTGATTAGCTGTTTCATTGAGTTTCACTGAAAAACAAGAGAATGTAAAGTAAGAGAGCACGATGACAAAATGGTTCTACATCATTTTCTAAAAAAGGACACTTACTGGTTTTGTATCTCTGGCAAAAGAATAGGCTCATTATGACAGAAAGTCTCTAGACCTTGTTGTCAGGCATGATGCAATCTCTGGCTGCTGGGAAGTGCATACTCATTTTTGAACGGCTCATTTTAGTAACTGGAAGTAGTCGTGACCATCCTCAGTTTTACCTGTCAAAAACAAGTGATGAAGATGCAATAATTGTGTCACATTCTTTAACAGAGTGCTGAGATTGTCTACAAGTCTCATCTAGACCATTTTCCTCTGACAATTTCAGCTTTTAAAAACAATGGGGAATTTTTGCATGTACAAATTGGACTTGCTTGCTTTGATTTTGTTGTATTAATTACCTGTTTTGTCCCTTTTTAGACAGGTGCCCTAGTTCACAGTTATCGGGGAACAGGAGGGATTTTTGAGGTTTGCTGGAATGCAGCAGGAGACAAAGTTGGAGCAAGTGCTTCAGATGGTTCAGTAAGTGTTGCTTGTCTTGACAGTTTCTGGAAATCTTTTGACTAACAACAGAGACAAAAGTTTCCTTCTCTAGCTGAAGGTTGCATACAGCCAGCTCACCTGTATGTTTTCACCTGCAACAATGCTGTAATATTGTAAGGAGAATGTCTTTATTCCAGTTTAATGCATCACTGTTCTAAACCCTCCAAAAACCTCAGAAGGTGGAAACACCTCCAATTTATGTTTTCTGTTCCTACTGGGACTTACTGTGTAAGTGTGTTCAGTGTGGCCAGTCTGGAAACAAGTTAATTTTTTCCTCTTTGCCCTTTTCAAGTGAAAATGCTAAGTGTGGGTGATATTATTATGACACATGATAGAAATTACATACCTTCTGGATTGCATTCAACAGCAAAACAAAGTACAAATTTCCAAATGCTTGTAATTAAAAAGTTCCTAAAAGTGACAGGTCTTTGTGTAAATACCAGTGTATTTACTGTGTGTTTACTTTGCTTAGAAAAAGAAGGGAATAAAATCTTATGTTTAATTAATCATGAATGCCCCCCCCTGTCATCTCAGAGCAGGGTATTAGAGCATCACCCCCTGGCTCCTCTGACACTGTCCTGCAAAGCACTCAGTGACATGTGAACATTCAGGTCTTCATAGTGAGCACAATACTGGGTTTTTTGCTTGCCTCTCTCTTGCCATGGCTTTCAAGGAAAGGAGAAGAGACCCTAAGGAAAAGCAAAATTAATATAAAATAAGGGTGATGAAGGAATGGCATTTTGAAGTGCTGTGTCTTCCTTTAACAAATGTCAGCAAAAAGCAGTCTTGGCAGCTTTGTAGTCCAGAGTTTCAGGTGGTATCTTAACACAGGTGCCAAAGTGTTCTCCCTCCTGCATGTTTCATGCTGGTGAGCAAGGTTGCTTTGTTAGAGTTCAGAACAGAAAATAGGAAGTTCTGGATTTTAAGTAGACTAAATTCTAGCTAATGAATTTTGATTAGGCCTGTAAGTGTAGGCAATATCATAAAAGGGCAAAAGCTCAAGGCATCTTCTGAGTAAAAATTAATAATCATTCCTCCATATGCCCCTTTTTTATACATGCGGTGTAACTTTTTTAGTCCTCCCGTTAATTTGGCTCAAGAGGCTGATTGTATTTGCAATAGATTTGTTTTCATTCAGTTTTTGCTTTTTTAAAAGTGTTGGACTTACTTTGTTTTATATTGTTTACTAGCGAACACCCTTCTCATCTACTCTTTTTAAATGTACTTAGAGCTGGTAGGAAGCACCTTGTGTGTGATAATATTGACTAACAGACAAAGAGAGTTGTAAAGACATGTGATGTTGTGCAGCTTCTGTATCTGTATCTCTTTCTCTTGCAGGTTTGTGTATTAGACCTACGGAAATAGCGCTACTAGTTGGAAGCCATGGACCGACTATGAATGTGTACATAGCCAAAATGACTGTCCCTGACCCATGTACTGCTATAGTCCCAATCGAACCATGGCCAGTCCACTACAGCCAAATGTAAAAGAAATATATACATATACTGTATATAAAAAAAAAAAAAGGAGGAAAAAAAAATTACACCCTGAAGAGGATGACAGAGTTTTGTCACAGCTTGTGAATCCTGTTCACCAAGTGCTGGAATCTGCTGTGCCCCAAAATAACATTTTAAAGGTTTTTTGGATATGAAAAACAGAAGAGAGAGCAAGAGAGAGAGAGAAATATACCATATACAAGAGCAGACCCATATACATACCAAATTCAGAAGATACTAATGGCAGCCTTCATTACCCCTTCCCCCTCAGATCCATTCTGATGTGGATTGTGGGGTATTTTTGTTTTCCTTCTCAGTAGTTGAGCAGTTTGTGTGTACAGAGAAAATGGACTTACAGAAATCTGCAGCAGTAGCTTTTTTTTCTTTGCTTTTAAACATTGGGTTTTCTGTTTTGTTTTGGTTAAGTTTACGGATGCATGAAGTAAGGGAGTGAATTAGTTTCTTGTTTATATTTTTTTTTTCACCTTGGAAAAACAAAGCATTTCTTTGAAACATGTTTTAATGCATTCTTTGAAGAGGTAGTTTGAACCTGATAATGTTTGGTACATTTTGTGGCTCCCAGAGCACAATTTTGTGAACAGAGGGAGGGTGGAAAAGGGATTATGGAGAGAGAAGAAAAAAAAAATCCTTCTTCGAGGCGTGATATTTCATGTCCTGCTCATCTATGAAATATGACAGTAATGGGTATAATGCTATGTTTGATTTTTCTGGTGACATGCCTGAAATGCAGTAGTTTCTTATTTGGGACATAATTCTGCCAAACTTAAGAACAGAAGGGCGCAAAAACACAGGAGAAAAAATACAGGGATGCAAAAAGCGGAAAAAAAAAAGGAAAAAAAATGTACAAAAAAAAAAGAGGAAAAAAAATGCATCTTCTGTTGCTTTAAGACCATAGCTAAATATGGTTAAATTGTGCACTATTGTGAAAAGGAGCAAAGTATAGCTGGGGGATTGTGTTTAAGAGGTTAAGATCTTTCTGGACAAGGGTTCATGCCACAGCTTCTTTGAGAGTTGCCCATCATTATTTGTAGGAGCTTAGATGTATAATTGTAACCAAACTCCAGTATTAAAAGTATTTCATGTAATTTTTCTTTATTAAAATAAAATCTTTGGCATATATTTGATAACACTGCCATTAAGAGGCAAAATGTTTACTACCTTAGATTTAAAAAAAATCTTAAACAGAGGACTTGCTTCAAGTTTATTTTAATAGCAGTGATTCAGCTTATTTAAAAGATGAATACTTGCACTAATTCCCCTGCTGCTCCAGTCCTGCAGTTTATTGTATCTTGTGACTACATTTTTTTCCAAATATAGGGTAGATGTAAGCTGCTATTTTTTTAATAATCACTACTATATAGTGTCTTTTACTCTGTTTACAATATCAAGTATTTTTCTTACAATGACAGATGTATATGGCAAACCTTTTTCTGCTCATGTGATTAAAAGTATACTGATAGTGATTTTATTTGTAAATGATAGCATGAGGTTGTGTTTACGCGTATGTGTAGTCAAAAAGGTTGCATCGTCTTGCATAAGATTCCAAGAGTGTAAATTTATAAAAAGAAAGGTTGTCAAATTTATGTCACAGACATTTTACTTAAGGAATGGTTTATATTACAGAGCTTTGCAAAGTTATCAGTTTTATAACACTATTTCAATCACAATTAATTTTGTGGCTTAGGATTGTTAGTCTCTAACCTATTTTTTTTATTCGTTTTGGGTTTTTTCTCCCCCCTCTCCAAGTTAGGCATAAATTCATTTAATTGAGATAATGCAGCTTTGACATTTTAACCATTGTTCTTTAGGCATCGATTTCTGCTATTTCCATGGAATACACATGACTTGAAGCAAGTCTGAGTTTGGCTAAGGTAGGGTAGCAATTTGCCAGTGGTAAAGTCAAGTCAACAATCCATTCTTTATGTATACCCCAGGATTATACTACTATCATACACAGCGTTTAAAACCAACACAAAGTCATATCCATAAAGACAGTTATCCGCGGTGGTTCAGTGCCAGTTATTTTTAGGGTTTGGAACATATTGCAAATGTTTAGAGCAATTACCCTGTGAGTTACAATATGTAGGAAACCTAATATATTGAGTGTCTGGCACTTGAAATATTGCTTTTATTGCTGGAGGTCCATGACTGTGGCTGACCTCTGTCATTTAATGAAAAAAAATAAAAATAAAAAAAAAATTCTGTGCAATAATTTTAAACTGTGCTCCCAGGAATAGACACAAATGTTTTGAGTATGTTTAAGCTGCATTTTTCGTTTAGCAATGCATTTGTCAATTGCACTGAATTTAAATCTGAAAAGTCAGAAGTGATTCTTGATAGTACTTTTGTATTTTAATATGGACAGTTTATTCATTTTCATAAAAGTTATTGGATGATTCTTTCAGCCAATCTAAACAATTGTGGTGGAATTCTGTGACATAGCTACAAAATCACACAGCCATGTTTTAGGGTATTGCCATTTTCCTCTTTCTCAATCATCAGCTGTTTCGGTTGTAATCCTAGTTGCTTAAGCATAGTATCACACACTCAGAAATAGATAAAACCAGAGCTTCTGTGTCACCAGGCCAGGGCTGTCAGGTGCTCAAAGCACAGTCCAGCAGGAACATCAGATCCATTGGCTCGAGCGCTCTGGACGTGCAGGCTGAGCCCCCAGCCTGGCATGGGGCAGCAGTGCCCCACTGCAGTGGAGTGAGGCCAGTTTCCACTGGCAGAGGATCTGGCTGTAGCTGTTTTATCGTTGTCCTGCCTAGCATGCCACAGTGCTGCTCCTGCTCACGCCGCCTCTCGCCTCGTGTTCCACGCGCCGGTAACCGCATGCATGCAAGGTGTGCTAGGGTCTGTGATTATGTTAACCCAAAAAAAGACAAAAAAAAAAGAGAACTGTGACATTATTATCTTTTATAGCACAAAGGCCTCGTGTTCAATAGTGAGGTAGACTATCCAAATTGTTCCTTTGAACTGAGGATGCCAAATGGCAGCAAGACCCTGACTTAGTGTAGCATGTATGCACATGCTTAGTCTTACATCTGGAGTCATTCCTGTTTTTTCCAGTTCAACACAGTAACAGGCCAATATCCAAATGGAGGATAAAAGGAAGGGGGATAACTGGGCTCAGCATTACTGATGGGATCAGAAATGAACTGATTTTGAGTTCACTGTCTTTCTATGCATCCATCTCAGAATCCAGTTTCTCATTTCTGCATGATCAGGTCCAGGTTTCTGTAGAGTTCCTCTTTTTCTACTTTTACTTTACCTTTTTCTGCATTTTTAAATTGATGTAAAGATTCCCAACCAGTGGACTTTTTAGTGTAGTTAAAAGAATATCTAGGTCCTCATAAAAGCTTTTTTAGACTCTTTGTAATGTTGATAAACCAAGTTTATTCTGGGACTACCATTGTGCAGGGTTATTTAGCGTGTCTACTAGATGATTGGAAATCTTATATGAAACACTAAAAGTGCCTCTTTTTCTGGGTTGGGTGGAGGGGAGGTAGTAGTTACCAGAGTCAGAAAGACATAGCATTTCGGAGCATGTTTCTTGATTTCATGACACTTTAATGCATCTTGAGAGAAAGGCCAAAGATTTCTACCAATTTTAATTGATTTTCATTTTAAAAAGCACTCCTTTTTCCTTACACTGCTTACCTCATGCTAGGATATTTAGTGGGACGTTGTACCTTTGAAATGTTCTTTGTGTTTAGGAGGAATAGTGGGTGGCACAGGGCACTTGTGCCAGTTTGCCTACGGAGCAACCTCAGCAGCCGATGCGTTTCGTTCTGCTGAAGGAAGGAGTTTCATTACAATCGCAGACTGGGATTTTCAGCCTGTAAATAAAAGGTTGTCTGTTTTTGTCTGTTTAGCGAAGAGGAGCCTTGGGACCCGATTTTTCCAATCTTTACTTAACCAGGAAGCCCATTGTCTTTCACTTCATGAGAAAACCTTGCCAGAGTGAGCATTGGAGGCGTTGGGGCTGTCGTACCGTCCAGCATTGCACGTAGGTAAAAGAGCCACAGTCCCCTCGGCCGTGGTGGGGTTTTGCCAGAGCAGGGCCTGCTGGATTTAGCCCAGTGTTCCTTTTTGGCTGACAAGCGTGATAGCATCTCCCTTCACAAAGCCCTGTAGAGCCGTTCCCCGGTGGGATCACTTTCACACTCTCCAGCCGTCTTGAAGAAAGCAGAAGCAACATTGTGGCATGTTAGAAGCAAACATGGCTTCGGGAGACAGCAGTAAATCTCCATCAAGATCCCTGACATTTTCCATAGGGAGAGCCATGGAGCAGTCCTCACTTCTCCCTCTAGAGAAAGCTCTGAAATACCACGATCTGTGAAGGTGTGACTGTCTTCACTGTCAGTCTGGTGGGAGGCAGATGAACCAGGAAAATCTGCCGTTCCGTGCGGATTGCAGATTTAGTGTTAATAGTGCTTCAGATCAGTAGTTTTTGAGTACATAATTTGCTTTCTCTGCCTTTAAGTTTGAAGCTTGACAATAACTTGAGGCATGTTTTTGTTTTGTTTTCTTTTTTAAATAATCATTCATTTCTACTTCATAATGTTTTTTGACATTTGTGGGTAAATACAAGAAAACAGTCTGCATGTTGTTGCTAGTCCAGTGTACTTTGCAATCTTGTCCTCAACAGACTGCAGTGTGCAGAACAGTAATTCTAGAATACAGAAGTAATTTTCTCTCTCTCCTGACATTGACATTGTAGTTGTAATGGTTTCATTTGGAGTTACAAATCCTTTGGGTCTAATTCTGTGAGCCTACCTATAGCACTGGATTAAAATGTCTGCATCATTTCTTCAGTTATCCAGTTAAATTACAACTGTTGTAAAAGTGTAAACCAGCCCATGACAGTTTTTTGTACTTGTTTAAAGGACTTTTATTGTTCAGTTTTCATGATTATTGTCTAAAGAAGACTGATATAGATGTTCTATACTGTCCTGGACCATGTTAATTACACTTTATGATGTATTTTGGTTCTACATCACAATGATTTGTCCCCAAGGCCCTTATATCCCTTTTAGGCACATTTTCTGTTGCAGTTTCCCTTTGCATTGTATTGCTTTGACAACTGTAATTTGAATCAGATCTGAAAGAGGTCCAGAATAAAATATATTTTGATATTACCTTGGCTGAATGTTATATACCAATAATTTTAAATGCTTGGGATGAAAGATTTACAGATGATTAAACTGGGAAGTGACAGACTGAAGCACTGGTTTTAATATGTAGTTTGTCACATTTTTATGTAAGATGAGATGTAAAGAGCAGCAGGAGGTAATGCATTGTGCAGCTGCATGATCTTCATGAACACACGGTAGATCCTCTGGTGGTGGCACCATCCTCTGCTACCATTCCCTGCTGTTCGATTTAGAGCAACTGATTTCTCTCGTGTATTTTATGTGCTTCATCTTCCCCTTCCCCTTACTTGGGGAAGAGAAACTGAGTCCAGTGGTGCTCACATCTGCACCCCAACTACATGGAAGACTTTGGGAGGCATCGGAGCAGCTCTGGTATGGTAATGGCATGTCACATTGGAGAGATCTTTTACAGATTCAGTTTGTGCAGAGGAACATTAATTTGCGTTACTGTATTTCAGATCTATGAAACAATTTCGATTTACACAAGAAATAACACACATCCGTCTATACATAATGGTGTTTTAATTCCTTTAGAATTGTTGGTCATGTCATAATCCAAGTGGGGAACCTGTATAGTTTGCTTTCAATGTCTCTAGGACTTACAGTGAAATTACTGTTTTTTTCATGTAGATTACTGATCTGCTCTATGTTCAAAAGTAATAGCTTTCTTAGTAATGTTACCTAAATCAATTTAATATATTGAAACTTGTTGTTGCAAAGTGTAATGGATTAAAAACAGAGAAGGGACTCTTGTACAACTGTAAAACCAATCTTGGATTCCCTTCACCTGGAGTCCTAGTGCACTGCAGGATTTCTCGGTCATCGCCTGGATTTTGAGAGAACAAAATTGAAGCAATTTCATGGTTCTGAGACAGAAAGGGTATACTTATTGATGTCATAAAACAGAAAGTTTGTGTGTTGAGATTTCATTAGCACAAGTGTTCTGCAAGAGCGTGGCCACCCCGAGATGCAGGAACCAAGGAGTGATGTTGTGTTACGTAGATGTTATGTTTGATGGTAGCAATGGCCAGATCCATCCTGTGAGGAGCAGACAAGTTTTCCAGGTAGGTGTATTATGCCATTGCTTAGTGAATTTTTGCTTTGGAGTTTAGTTACTATAGTATATAGTTTAGTTACTATAATATATAGTAACTAAATAGTATAGTATATATAGTTAGTGCTATAACAATGAGGTTCTTGTATTTGTGTAGGAACTCATGATCTCGTGTATTCATAAAGACCATGTTCCCTACCATCTAGGAAAATGGTTTAATGGAAGTCAAAGCAATATCTTTGGTTTGTTGGTGTCAGCACAGGGCAGCTGTAATGGAGTAATAATTTGGGAGGAATTTATCAGTGGTTCTGTAGAGAATGATGATGCCCCAGTTAGTACAGTTTGTCCTTGAGAAAAGCTGACCCAGGAGTTCTGCAGTGCAGAGGCTTTCCTGTTTACCTGACTAACTGAAAATTGGTGCCATAAGGGACTGTTTGAAGGGTTAAAAAAGACAGGTTTTCTTAATAAACATAATGTTAAAATGTTCAGCTTGTAGATTCATTCTTCAGATGCACAGTCAAGATTTTGGGCTCAAAAAGATTTCAAGAAGGCTCAGTAGAGGTTGAGTACTTCCAACAGATTATTTGCTTGTTTTCAGAGAGATGTTCTGACTTGTTCTAGATGCTGAGAGCCCTGATTTTAACCTTAAGAACACTGTATTTTGAGCTTTCTAAGTTGTGTTCTTGGACCTTTCAAGACCTCACTGAACTTGTGACAGCTCAGACTGAGTGTTCTGCCTTTCCAACTAGAGAATCACAGGGCATTGCTCAAACCCAATGCAGAGGGGATATTCCCAGTCACTTCAGTGCAAGCACACCCAGGGCAGCACTTCTGAAAAGAAATGTTGGTGGATGAAGGATTTTATTTTTTTTCTGGCATATCAAAAATCCATCTCTTAAAGATCATGTCTCTCATTCCAGTGTATTGAAGTTCTCTTAGAACAAATCTAAGGCACCATTTGCTCTTTAC